TAATATTCAGGAACCTAGTTCTTATACTCAGGCCAGTCAAAGTGAGAACTGGACTCAGGCGATGCAGAAAGAACTTGATGCACTTGAAAGTAATCATACCTGGGAATTAACCTCACTTCCTCCTGGGAAACAAGCCATTGGTTCACGATGGGTTTACAAGGTAAAATTGCATCCAGATGGGTCAGTTGACAGGCTCAAGGCAAGACTTGTTGCCAAGGGTTACCACCAATTACAGGGTGTTGACTACTTTGATAGCTTTTCGCCCGTTGCAAAAATGGTTACAGTAAGGATACTCCTTACTGTGGTGGCAGCTAAAGGTTGGCCTTTACACCAGTTAGACGTTAATGACGCTTTCTTACATGGATTCTTGGATGAGGAGGTTTATATGCTTCCACCAGATGGATTCCATAAGGCACTTCCTGGTCACGTGTGCAGGTTGAAACGAAGCCTTTATGGATTGAAACAGGCTTCTCGACAATGGAATGCTGAACTGAATTCTAAGCTTCGACTTTTTGGCTTTCTTCAATCAGAACACGATCACTGCTTGTTTGTTAAGCACAATTCACAACGGACCCTTATCCTTTTGGTTTATGTTGACGATGTCTTGATTACGGGCTCCCATGAAGATGATATAGTTGCTGCCAAGAAATTCTTGGATACCGCCTTTACCATTAAGGACATGGGTTATGCTAAATACTTTTTGGGCCTTGAAATTGCTCGAAGTGATGAGGGTATGTATATTAACCAGCGTAAATACATTCTTGACTTAATTCATGATGCTGGTTTAATGGGAGCTAGACCTACTCAAGTGCCTATTCCAAAGGGGACCAAGTTGGTTCATCAGGCAGGTCCTTTATTTGCAGAACCAGACCGTTATAGGAGGTTAATTGGCCGCCTCTTATACCTGAATTTGACACGACCAGATATTACTTATGGGGTGCAACAGCTCAGTCAGTTCGTCCATTCTCCTTGTGTCTCGCATTGGCATGCTGCTTTGCATCTTCTCCGCTATTTAAAAGGCTGCCCTTCGACAGGCCTTTTCTTTCCTACACAGAGTTCTTTCCCTCTTCAGGCCTACTCTGATTCTGACTGGGCTTCCTGCCCAGATACAA